CGGAGTGGGGCGCGGGCGCCTCCAAGTCCCCCGACTCTAGTTACCAGCAGGCCACGCCCGGAATGGCCTCCTCCCTGACTCCCCCTAGTGAGCTTCTGTCTGGGAGAGGGGACTCCTGGGGCCACCGCAGAGGCGCACACAGTCATCGATACCCAGAGACGTGGGGACAGGAGGCGGCGCCCACACATACAGAAATACAGGGGTATTGCTGTGAGCGGGCCCCTGGGCGCCCCACGGTTCTGAAGGCCCTGTCCTTGCAGAGGCCACTGTGGTTCTGAGAGCTGGCATGGAGGAAGACTCTGGTGTTTTTGAAAGTTCATTTATTCATTTCTCCCATGAGAGATACGGAAGTGGGTACCCCACGGCGTCTCAGCCCCAGACAGAGACCTGGGGTGGGAGGGGTGCAGGATTCGGCAAGCCCTGGCAGGAGCAGGAACAGCAGGACACAGAGGCCTGGGTCTGGGTGACAGAGGGGCAGCCCAAGCCCCACTTCCCTGAAGCTGCTCTGTGCAATAGGAGGTGGCCCTGGGCTCGCCTTGCCTGCAGGCCCGAGGTGGGGGACAGTCCCAGCCTCCATGGGCGCCTCTCTATTCAGGACAGCCAGACCTAGGGCCAGCAGGTCCCCGGTGTGGGGGTGTGGGTGAGGTCACTGGGATCTAGGAGCCGTGGGCCCCAGGAGGCTCAAAGCCCCTCCAGTGTCCGCCCCACCATGGAAATGGCTCAGGTGCCTCTTTGGGAGGCTCCTGGGCAAGGCCACCCCACCTGCCCCCCAGCACCTCTCTTAAGGAAGCAGAAACAGACCTATGCGGGCCATGAGCCAGCAGGTGGCATGGTGGTTAAGGTGCTGGACTCCCATGTGGCCAGCTGAGGTCTGAGTCCTGGATCCGGTAGCTTGAAAACCACTTGGGGCACATGTGCATGGGTGCCCAGAATTCCAAGAGAACAGAGAAAGGGCTGCTGTGTGGCCACCACCTACGCTGCGGGGAGCCCTCTTTCCTTTTTCTGGCCGACACCTGTGCTTTATGGCAAAAACCTAAAAAAAAAGGGTCAGTGGGCCAGCAGGAGCCGTGGAAGCCGACACGACTGGATCTCACATGCCAGCTGCAGGTTCAAGTCCTGGACCTGCATGCTGGCTGCACCTCCGAGTGTGTGCCCAAAAGCCCTCGAAGAGCATGGTGGAGCATAAGGAACTGTGGCATGGCCATCACCCTGGGGTCCCCACTCTGTCTGTCTCTGTCTCTGGCGAGCACACACACTTATAGCAAAACTATTTTTAAAAATGGGTCCGCGACTACCAGTGCCTCGGGGGTCTGGGGGTCTGGGCCAGGGCGGTAAGCCCTGGCAGGAGCAGGACCAGCAGGAAGCTGAGAAAACAGGTCGGCTGTTGAGATCCTCCTCCCCCAGTCCCAGGGCTCTGACCAGGCCTCTGCCCGGCCCAGGATGGTCCGCCCTGGCCCCCGGCAGCTTAGAGGGCATCAGCCATCGCCAGACTGCAGGACCTTAGCTCAGGCAGGGGACACCCAGGCCATGCCACCGGCGCACTGCAGTGGCCTAGACTCTGCCGGCGCGCAGGGGCACGGCCGGCAGGGGGCGCAGCGCAGGACGACACTCACCTCTGGCGAAGAGGCAGCCGACCCCTGCGGACCAGACCCGGTCCACTGCTCCGCCCTGCTGCGAGGGGCCTGAGCCCTCCTGGGGTCCCACTGTGGCCGGCCACCCTGGAGTCCCATCTCCGCCTGCAGGGACCAGAGTTTCTCAGGACATGGGGGAGACTCTGGTGTCACTCGTCGGGCTCTGGCGCCGTCGCCTCTGGGCCATGGCCGTGGGTGGGTTAACTGGGGGAGGGGAGGGCAGGGGCGGGGCCGGGCGGGGAGGACGGCTCTCGGGCTCTGGACACTGCTGCCATGGCCGCCGGGCCCGAGTCCCCCCGCCGGCGGCCACG